CTTAAATTTTATCATTAGGTTTTAATTCCTTTGATCTTGCCTTGTTCTGGGTTTTAATATTTATGCTAGTGCCCTTTTTAACTATCATTTTGATTCGATAATTTTCTTTGTTTTTATTTAGATTAATAAGTTTTCCTTTTATTTTATCGTTTTCCCCTGTATAATTAGGTATGAAATATATTGCGTTATTCATTGGCTTTGTTTATATTAGTTAATTTAGGTAATTATTTTTAAAAAATAAATATGAGAATTTTGTATTTTTTAAACTTGTTTTTCTTGTCTAAACATGCAATTTTTTTTAATTCTTCTACAGGTTATATTTCTACTATTTTTTTTTTTAAATTAGGAGTACTTTTCTTTTTTCTCTTACTATAAAATGTGTTACACTTTTTACCTTGTAATTCGGGTTAGATAAAACATTGATTAATGACACTTTTTGGTCGATCCAGAAAACCGGGAAATTCAGACATCCGGGATAGCGATGGTCCTGAGCATCCCGGATAATTGGTTCTCTGCTGTACTTATTTAAATATTATAGCAAACAATAATTCTATTTCAATAGGGACTTTTTTAGAAATTGAACTCAATTTTAAGATAATTTTAATTAAACCAGTAGACCACGAGAAACTGAAAAAATCCAGTAGTCTACTGGAAAATTCAGTAGAGTTGGCAGCTATACATATTCTTTAAATAATATGCAGGGCTCCCGGGCAAAGAAATGTTTTAAGCCCTTATAACACGTCATAGTGTTAAAAATCTAAGTAAAAAACTTCACATACATAGAATAAAGTATTTTCAATATGTGCAATAATTTTAACAAATTTAAACACCTTTTGACTACACAAAACCCAAAAAACTCAATGCAAATAAAAACTTCATTGGAACACAAAAAACTAGATTTGGATTGCCTTTTTAAGTTTGTCTGGTGATAAACTGAAATTATAGTTATTTGCATGATAATCAATCACTATTTTTAGAAAGAAAAACAAAATGCACACTTTATACAATAGAATATATTTATTTATAAAAATATATAAGGCAATTTTGTTTATTCTTAATTTTTTTAAAATAGAATTTATGAAAAGTAATATTCTTAATTTTTTTAAAATAGAATTTATGAAAAGTAATATTCTCGAGCCCCCCCCTCTCCCCCCCCCCCGGCNGGCCCCCCCCCCCCCCGGGCACTGCCCGGGTGTGCAACATGTAAAGACGGTACCGATAATATCTACAAAGCAAACATCTTTACCTTCTGCGTTCTTCTTTAGCTCATTATGCTGATCAAGTAGACTGACATTATACTTTCTTCCAAAATCGTCATCCAATTCATCACTATCGCCTTCACTATTTGATTTGACTTTAAATTTTTCTTTTTCTTGCAATATAGTTCCTAAACGACGCAACTTCACAAGCTGCAAACAATTATTATTTGATGGTTTAAATTGTTTCAATAATTTAACAATAAAAAATGGCAACCAAATTTAAGGAGTATAACATTATAAATTTCTAGGACTGTACATAATTCTCTCTAGTGTTTCATAAGTAGTTTCATACTAGTAGTAAGGATGCTCAACCTGCGACCTGTCTACTGTTGATGTGAAGTCTGAAGAAAATTCTGAACACAGTGAAAAATTTTAAAAAATAAATACAAAAAAAAAATTGACAATTCTGAATTGCACAGTTGAGTTAACACTATATTGACACGATCAATTTGTAAAGATTCTGTTGTAGTATTCTATTGTAAATCTATATTGTATCTCGATCACTTTTTCCGCAGTAATTGCTTTGGACTTCCTTCTGTATGGTTTTTATAAAACCTAATACTTTTAGTATGATATTACAATACGCGAATTTGAGTATGAATCGCAGCATTGGACTTTTAAATCACCCGAATAGGAATCTCCATGAACGTTTAATCGCGTTAATGAGAATCGGGATATTAAGAGATTCCGGCACAGGTCCAAATATACAAAATGGTGAAAATCGGCCAAACCAAAAGAACCAAATTGGCGGAAGAATCCCATATGACGTAATTTCTCACGTAATTAGCGAAGAATGTGGGTAAACGCCTCGTTAAAGGGATTTAGAAAAAGCATCAAAATTTTGTGGGAACTTTACAATATTCGTTCAAAAATTGCAGGCCCGGCTTCTAGTTCTTAGACCCCGAAAAAAGATATTAAAAACCGGAATTTCGGAGTACTTCCAGGATACAATCACCCCTAATATACTGAAATAAAAATATACATTGCAGAAAATATCAGAATGATTTATATTTATTGTAAAATGCATATTTTGCATGCTTCGTTAATATATTTTTGTGTTTCCTTATTTGACCGTATCTGCCTTCTGTGCTGAGGTTTGCTCAGTTTTGATGGTCACTTCCAAAGGTTTTCTTCCACACAAAGTCAATGGCAAAAACTCTGTGCCGCTCAAAAACAAGTCATGTTAAAAACCAGTTTTTGATTTAAAAAAAAAAAAAACTGCTAACAGATCACCTGAATGTAGGTTCTACCTCTCCCAGGACAGAGAGAAGAGCCTTAAGAATCCTGATACTTAGGTAAAAAAGGTGGTTGATTCAGCTAGATTCATTAAATTGATAATAAAATATGGAGCACAGTCTAAATATAAAAGGGTTGTTCTGTCACTTTTACATTTGTGTTCAGAACAAAACTTTGATATTTTTTATCTATATTTTAAAGATTTCACAAATTTTTTTTTATTAGTGTCATTCAAAACTGTTCTGGGATCATGTCACATTCTTCTTTGGGGACAAGTTTTGGGTTGTGCATCCCTGTACTAAAACTTATATTGAAATTAAAACTAAATGAGTGTATTTTGCTTGTTTTTGTCTGGATGACAGAATCCAGCACCAAAAGTCTTACCTTTTCCTTTTTTCTTTCTTTCAGGGGAATATATGGCTCATAATTATCATCATCACTGGAGTCACTTTTTCCCTTCTCTTTGTCATCACGACGATATCTCTAATAAAAATAAGTGCAAAACATCTTATTAAAGGCTGTTAATAACTATGTTTTTTTGAAAAATATTTTATAGAGTGGTAGACAATCAAATATTAAAACTTTCAGAATGTTTAGTAATTTTGCTAACATTTTTAAAGCCTTGAGGGGATTTAATTACCGACTATGTCAACCTTCATCTATCAAAAGGTACCTTTAGATAGAATATATACAGTATATCTAGATATGAATAGTTTAATTAAAGAAATTAAATAGTTTTTCATTTATTTGACAAAGATTTATTTTGTAATTACTGTTCGTACTTTAAATGTAAAAGAGAACAGTAATTACCTATGGGTCTATAATTTCTATAATATTTAAAAAAATTTTAAAGTGTTTGATGCGTGTGATTATGTTATTACATATTTAGTTTCTTTTTTGTCAGATTTCAAATAATAATAAAAGAACATTATCATTCGATAATATGAATATTAAGATAAATTTAAAATAATTTATATACAAGTGTTTATATAGTTATGAATACATTCAGTTTTGAGTTCCAACTTCCAACTGTAGTTTGATTTAGAATATCAAAATATTAACTTTGTACAAAGAAAAAAAAACCTTAACTGAATAACTTTAAAAAAAAAATAATAATTCGAATTTTAACAGCATTTTTATTATTATTTTCTTTTTAATTTTTAACTGGAAGTTTATTTAGCATTTTTGTGTTTATTTATTACCCTTATTAATAATTGAATAATTTAGAATCTTTGCATAATTGCTTTAAATTATAATTTAAACGAAGTA